AAGATGGGGTGCTGAGTACATTAATGAGAAATAAAATGAACTTTTTTGATTTTAGCAAATGGCTGCAATGAAACAAAGAGTGAAAAATTTAAAGGGGTCTGAATACTTTCCGTACCCACTGTATATTGCAACAGCACTGAGAGACTTTTGCCCAGTCCCAGGAAAAAAATTAGCTTACTGTCATGGTCATGCTGTCTGAACTGTCCAAACTGTGTTGATAAAGATCTGTTAACATATGATAAAGATAATATAAACTTGAAACAATTGTAAGAGAAGTAAATAAATCTGTTGACAACACTCAACGTGCCTGTGTGTGGCTGCACTTTTTTGTATTTTTTATATGTGGTTCACAGATCACAAACGCCACACGGAGAGAGCTGAAATGCATTTGGTTCAGGTGTTCCACTCCTGCCTGTAAATTACTAGCAATACCACCAGATCCAATCCAAAAGGTGCACCCATGCAGCTGGAAGGTGTTCACAATATAGTTAATGAGTTAGCATAACAGATGAAGAGCAACATTAGCATTCATTTGTGTTTCTGGCCTGGGTCTTATATTGAGTAATTATTTCAACACAGTTTTATTTCCTTTGCCTAAAATCTATCTGTGATTTGAAGAGGGAGCTCTCTGCCCAGTAGAAAAATACTTACATCTTAAAGCTTAGTAAGTATCAAGGCGGCAAGTAAAAGTCTTGTATTGAAAATCAAACTAAAAAGCATTTGTCACCCATGCAGGTGTTTCCAGTTACTGCAAATTAGAGCTACACTGTAAAATACACAATGTAATCCAACTCAGTTTACTACTAACAATGATAAGGTACAAATTATCCCACCCTCACAGTTGACAACAAAACACAACCTAAAAGGCTCAGGGGAGATGTCCATCAGGAGCAGTCTTAGGAAGAGGTCCAATCAGGGAAAACTACTGTGGGGGTGAGCCATGAGTATGGACGGCCTTTAAGTGTTTTTCTCTGCTACTGAGAGTACTTAAGAATATGTACCATTGAACAGTACAGTATCAACTAACATCTAACCTTTATTAATTCAGTTGTTTAATAATAATAAGAAGAAGAAGAAGAAGAAGAAGAAGAAGAAGAAGAAGAAGAAGAAGAAGAAAGTCATTCATTAATCCTTATTCACAACTTTAAAAGTCTAATAAAACATGCAACATTTTGGTAACAAAAGAGAACAAAACAGGTGAAAACAATAAAAATCCTCAAATAAATAAAATCAGGATTTTGATAAAAGATAAAAGAGATTTAAAAAGATGATACTGACTCACCCAGCCATGTTTCTTTCAAGAGCCTCAGGGACGTTAACAGCAAAGGCTACGCAAGGTATATAGTCAAAAATCAGATGACTACACAGCAAATCTGTAGTTATTCAGCATAGAAAAAAAACTTCCACTACTGCAACTGAATTGTGTTGAGATGCAACACACACACACACTGGGATAACAATGCCCCAGAGACGATGGGAGAAGATGTTTTACTTTTTGTGCGGTCTGAGCTCTGTTCTGTTCATTACAAACACACTAATACAGAGACTGATATATCCAGAGCTGAGTCTTGGGACAACACTGTAGATTACAGTGAGTAAACAGGGAGTTTAGCACCTTGCTCAAGGACACCTGAAGAGAACATAAAGCTAAGGGAACACAAAAGCCAGGAAACACTGTCTTGATTCATAAATATTTTATATACAAAATATTGTTACAAGTATATTCAACATATGTCACATTAGAATAATGATAACTACTTTACATACATTTGATCAATCTTCATATTTCACAGTACATACATGAAAAAGATCACAATTCTATACTTTGTATACAATAAATACATGCTCTGTTCATAGGCTTTTATTTTATTTTATTTTATTCTTTACAAACTTACAGGTATTTTAAACAGAGTGCAAGAGTTCAGTTGTTTCTACAGCTGTGGCCACTGTAAAAGATCCCCCTTTCATGCCCTTATACCGCGCTGCAGACTAAATGTTTGTTCACTTTAATACGACAGAACCAAAGACAAAACTCTAAACTAGTTTCCAGACTACCTCATCTAAATTCTACCAAACAAATCCTCTTGAGTTTGGAGCTAAAGTGCAGCTAGTTTCGGCAAACGTGCAGTAAAAAGTGGGACATTTACAATGGCCACATCTGTCTGTAAACAACACAAAATACGTGAAGAGAGCTCGTTGAACATGGCTCGCTGAACACTTGCGTTCCTTGGCACATAGTAAACAGATGAGAGAGTGGATCAAACCCAGTCACACTTCAATCAATGGAACAACCAGCATGTAGTCCAAGTTTGTAGTGCACCTAATGCAAAACACCAATCTGGTATTCAGAAACATATGACTGTGCATGCATGGCAAGGCTGTGGTGTCTCAAAGACTGTTATTCTCATCCAATTTAAAACTATAAATGTAGACAAAAAGAAATTATTAGAGGTCCATTCTTGGTCCTCCATAAAGGTGTTCACACTATTTAAGCCCTGAAAACATGTTGTCAGCTTTTGGTTGTTTTAATTCAGAGCAGGTGGACAGGTAAACAGTGTTCACTCACAGTTTGACACTTGGCAAAAACAGAAGAGCTAAATTAAAAACCTCTGACGCAGCGTTTCTTCTCAGCGCAGATATATATACTTATCTGCACTTTGTTTGACAGGCCACAGTCCAGAGGTCAGTCATATACTACTATACCCATAATTCTTTGCTTATGAGAAAAATCAATGTCTTTTTACTTTACAAGTCAATGTTGTACAATCCATTTATGTTTAAAGTTTCCATCCTACATTAGCTGGCCAGCTTTTTTAAGGCGGTGTCATTTTTGTCATCTTTTCTTTATTTTTGTTTTTATAACATTCATTCCCTTAGTGGCTACTGTATCCTGGCTATTTCTTCTCAGATGTAAGATGCATCTGGTGCTACGGGTGTCAACTGGTATGGATTAAAGGAAGTGACACGTGATGTGCCCGATGTGCATTGCATGTTTCACGAGCAACCCATGATCTTTCTAAAAAGCACCATAAGCTGTTTTATTTTTTTTCTTTTACTCAGGTTGGGGAATTATTGTTGGCTAATAAATTCCCATTTTTTTTATTTTTAAAAGAGTATGACATTTGTTCATTTTAATGCATTGTGACATTAATTAGCTGGTTAATGACTGGTCCAATGCCATTTTTTTGGAAAACAGTACTGGATACCAGATTCAACAGTGGATCGATGTTGCAAGACATTTGTTAGCAGTTAAAAGGCCTCAAAGGCTCAAACAGTACAATAATCTGGGAATACTTCCTCCAACTCTCATCTCATGTCATAGTTACTTTCATTAAACAGTCTCTTAATAGTAGTCATAATTTCCTGTTCGGGTCCATTCAGTTTTAAAACTGAAGCCATGTTCACACACTGTCAGTTTTTTTGCTGTCAGGTAGACAGAGAAACAAGTCCATTCATTCTTATGAATGGATGTTTGGTAAAAAGTTGTGGATCAGCTCTGAGGGCCAATAGATGACACATATATATTTTTTTTATTTGCTACAGATGACCAAAATAGTCAGTCATTAGAATCAGAAGCTCAAGAGATGAGCCAAAACAATTTGTGACCACTGAGTTGGTGATTTAAACCCATACGTCACTTGATAGTGATGGTACTGGTGCTGATTATTGTTATTGTTTATCAACACTCTGAGAGAGCATCTCTATCCAAAATGTACCTTTTGATTTAAATACTTTTCTTTCCAACCATATCTATGGCAAATAGTCAACTTGCTTATGTTTACTGTGTCTTGTGGGATCTCCTTCATGTTGAATATGATCAGGCAGAAGCTTTGATGGTCTGTGTTTACTGAGAATGAAGATGACAGTGCTCATAAACACCAGTCAAAGCTGTGAACAACGCATAGCCCTGACTCTAAACCCTGACCATGATCCACGTCAGCTTCACATTTTCACCATTTCTGAGTCTCTGTCTCTGCTGCTCATCTGCCCTCCTCCACAGGACGAGTTTCAGATTTCAGCTTTACAAACTCCTTGGCCACCTCATCAGCAGGCCGCTGGGACAAGATACGCATCACCGTCATGCCCGTCTCGTCGGTTTGAATGCGCGGCCCCAGCGGACACCAGCACACGCAGCTCTTGCGGTCAGCGACGTCACGCAGCTGTATCACAGCCATGCCAACCACCCGGTCCGCCCGGCCGAAACAGTAGTCCTTCACCGTCACCTGGAGCTCATAGCAGTCTGGGGACTCCTTACCCAGGACACTACAGAGCAGAAAAGGAAATAAAAAATCAGCCACTAATTTATTGCGTCTCATCCATTTGTAGCTCATTGGTAGGTGTAAGAGCTCAGGTTTCAAACTCACAACTGGAAAGACTCGTTGAACTTTGCCGACCAGCTGTTGTTCTTGGATTTTGTGGTGAACTTTCGCTTCTTGTCGGCGAGGAAGGGCCCAACCATGGAGACTTCAACGAAAGGCCGGAACATCCCCGATGTCTGCCACTTCATGTCGTTCGCTGCGATGACTGGACGGAGAGAAAACAGAAAGAGAGAGAGAGGGACAGCACATGAGTGAGAAAAGGGAAAGATTCAGTGTTGGTGATGGTACTGTTAGACTGTTGTTGCATGACTGTTTATTTTAACATATACAGCGGTCCAGTATGCAACTTATACAAGTGTGATGTAGAGACATCTTGTGTCCAGCAGGAAAACAACTTTTTTAATACTTTATACTTCATTGTGGAAAAAACATATCAGACACACATTATTGTTCCAATCAGACTATTTGTATATATGTCTTAACAACATGTCTGGAGGGAATCCTTAACTTTTATTCCTCAAATGAGGAATCTTTTTATGATTGTTGGTGCTAAATTTAAGTCAGAAAGAAG